GGGGGCGAGCGGCCGGCCGCGATAGGCCGCGGCGCGGGGCGGGAGGTGGCGCGGCGAGGCCGGCCGCAGGGTGGGACCCGCCCGGGCCTCTGCATTGGCCGAGCGCGTGCGGCGCTGGCGCTGAAAAGGGAGCGGACCCTCCCTCCCCGCGTGGACTTTGCTAGTCTTGCCACCGTCCCCGGCCCTTTTAGGACAAAGAGACCCAGCGCAGCCTCCGGGCAATGCACTTGAGACCCAGACGCAGCGGGGAGACAACTCAAAGTGGCTGTGCCGGAGGGAGGAGTCAGGAGGCCGCCTCTAGCAGGGCTGTCTGGTTTCTCTAGTCCTCGGCAACGGGGGACCGCACTTGGTGCTTGGCTACTGGGGACATGAATTACTCACGCTTCATCACCGCCACGAGCGCAGCCAGAAAGCCTTCTCCCATCCGAGTGACGGGTGAGAAGGGGGGCCGGCGCCTCTCCTCCCGGGGTGCGTGCGGCTTTCCTCGCACAGCCTCTGGGAACGGAGCCCTGGAGTCATCGCTCTGCTCGTGGGGCGTTCATTCATTCAACTGTGAACGCTCTCGGCGAGCCAGGCGCTGCGTGCACAAGTGAAATGGGCACAGCCCTTGTTCTCAAAGAGCTCGGGCTGGAAAGGCGGGTAGTTGGGCATCTCTGCCGGAGTGTGGTAGCAGCAGCAATCGAGAAAGGCACAGGCTGCTGGAGGACCTGTGCTTGGAAGGGAGGGGTCGTGCTGTCAAGGAAGGCTCTCTAGGGGAAGACGAGTGGGGTGGGCACAGTGCGCAGATGTGCGGATTCTGGTCAATGGGAGAGAAGGGGGTGAGCCCTGAATTTCAACAGGCAGGCAGGGACTAAGCGGAGGAGGGTCTTCTGTTTTTATGGTTCTTTGAGATCTTCCTTATCCCTCTGCTTTCTCCTTGGTCATCTCCATACTTTAGTCTCTCCGGAAGAGAAGGCCCAGAAAAAGTTACTCTATATGTTTACTTTAGACAAGAGTTCTTAGTCCATCCAGGCTGCTATAACAAAATACCATAAACTGGGTAATTTCTAAACAACAGAAATTTATTCTCACAGTTCTAGAGGTTAAGTAAGATCAAGGCGCCAGCAGATTCCATGTCTGGTGAGGGCTGTGTCCTTACTGACAGAGGCTTCTCCTGCATACTCACTTGGCAGAAGGGGACAAGGGCCTCCCTCAGGTCTCTATTATAAGGTCACTAATCCCATTCATGAGGTGGAGACCTCATTACCTCATCGAGTCCTTAAGGTCCCACCTCTTACTTAATACCATCACCCTAGATATGAGGTTCAACATAGGAATTTTGTTTGTACACCAACATTCATACCATAGCACATTCTATCACTAAAAATTGTTACACTTTACTTTTGTTGGCTGTAATGCATACTGAGCCATCTCTGTTTATAAAAATCTTCAATGAAAGTGTTTTTTCTTCTCTTCTATGTTTGTTGTAGCTGACACTTTGAGCAGGAAATCACTCATTTCCTTAGCTGCTGGAGCACCAAATCCAAACACATTCCCCTTTAAGACTGCTACTATCACTGTAGAAAATGGAAAGACAATCCAATTTGGAGAAGAGCTGATGAAGAGAGCACTTCAGTATTCTCCAACTACTGGGTAGGTATCGATAGGATGGCTCATTTTCATGGGCAATATTCTGAGGCCTATTGATAAAGTGACTTGTGCAATATACTTAAGGAAGGTTTGGGAAGTTTTCAGAGTGCAGGAGGGATAGTGAATGTTTACCACACCTCAGTGCCTGCTTCTCAACCTTCAATGATTGGGAGAGTCAGAGAAGGCTTATGGAAGGAAGGTCCATTTAAGCTGGTCTGAAAAATGAGAAGATAGCTAGGTGAAGAAGCATATTGGAAGAAAGGAGGAAATGGATGATCCAAGGAGTAGCAATTTTAGGTCCCTGGGCAATCTTCTAATCAATATGTTCCTTTTCTAAATAGGCAGTTACGTAAATACACTGCCCTCATAGGTTTAGATATCTTTAATTTCTTTAAAGCAAACTGAAACACATACCTTAAGACTGTCTCTAACTGGTCTACTTCCAGTGACAAAGGACAAATTTATTGAAAATCTATAAATTATACATTATTAAAAACTTCTATGTTCTATGATTGAAATACGTTATTCATATGTATATATGAATTATATGTAATATATGCATGGGCTTTTCTTTACTTGATACAAAGAACTTACTGAGCCTGAACTACTAGGAAGCCTATTTAGATCTTCCTAAGGAGAACAGATTATGCAATGAATGCTCTAGTGTAAAAGAAAGACTTCAGGCTTTAGAATAAGGATGGAAATTCAAATCTCAGCCCATTGATTAAATGATTGACTTTATGTGAATTTCTGTCTCATTGATTTAATGTGAATTTCCTAATCTATTGCTTCATCATTTTTTTTTTTCCCACTGCGTGTGGCTGGTATGGGGATCTGAACCCTTGATCTTGGTGTTACAACACCATGCTCTTACCAACTGAGCTAATACGTCAGCCCTATTGCTTCATCGTTTAAATGAGAATATTAATAATGGCAAAAAGCATCTGGAGGCTTTTTAAGTTAATGCATAAAGCACTTGGCATAATGCTACCATTTATTTCCTGTCTACTCTTACTATGATTTTTATTTTGATAAATTAAAAATACATTTTGTGCTTTAGAATTCCAGAGCTTTTGTCCTGGATAAAACACTTACAAGTAAGACTTCATAATCCTCCCACCGTCCATTATCCACCCAGTCAAGGACAAATGGACGTATGTGTCACATGTGGCAGTCAAGAAGGTCTTTGTAAGGTAAGACTGAAAGGAAAAGGTAGTCTACGTGTAGAATTTAATATGTTCATAACTACAAATATAGTCATCTCTCACTTAACCACAAGAGGATCATGTTTTGTGGATTGCTGGTAGTCTTCCTTGTCTTCACTTAGAACTATAAGCAGAGAACTCAAAGACAAGACATAGGATGAGAGACGTGTATGTATGTGGGGGATGGGGGCGGTGGCAAGTTTGTTCGCAAAAGCCAGGTAGAAATACTTTAGGTTCATTTATTGATATTTCCCTTTAATTTCCCTTATTGTGAGCACAAGGACTTTCAAAAATTATCTGCTTTTAGTATCATTTGCCTGGATGATTTTTCATAAATGCAGAACATGTGGTCAAGGACCCAGGGCTACGAGTCATTAAAACAATATTCCCATTAAGAGAATACTCAACTCCTATCCAAAGCTTAATGAGCATTGCTTTATTTCATCTGGCTCAAAGGTCCAGGTTACATTTGATTACTGCTTGAAGTTATGATATTTCTGTATGGTTTTTAAATTCTTTAGAAAACATGTCCTCATACTTCTGAGATGAAACTGTTATTCCTTTGCATGTCTGTTTATGTAATCTCTGTGCTCACCACTGCTTGTATCTCGTCTCTCTCTAGGCTGTTCTTCTCTAGATCTACAAATATGTCTGTGTCTCTGACTTCTCTCTCTGGCCTATTTCCCTCTCTCTCCCTCTCTCTTTCTCTCTCTCTCATTTTACACCTCCCACCCCCCATTAGTTATTTCATCAGCTTCCCACGTGTATTCCAGGAACTCCACAAACGTAACCACCTCCGGGTAGTTCCCACAATGGGGATCGTACCTATGGTCCTCAGTTTCATCTGTTTGTTTTTTTCATTTTCACGAATAATTAATCCTGGATAAAGATTCCCTATATTCCATCTCACATGTAGATTAAAATGTGACTCTTATTTATCTTTATCTTAAGCCAAAGTAGCTTTCTTTTTCTTCCTTTTTATGGAAATGTGAAAGCTGTAATCTGGTTTGCTTTAATGAATTTTAATTAAATTATTATTACAAAATAACGGATTGTAGTAACAAAAATATTTTGTAAAGGTTTTTAAAATTTTTTTTCAAGTTCTTCTTCCTGTTTTTGTATTTAATTAGGAAAAATAAAAGGGTTAGCTACTGTTTGAGTTTTTGCTTAAAAAGAAACAGTTGTGATTCTATGGAGTGATATTTATTTATTTATTTATTTATTTATTTATTTATTTATTTATTCATTTATTATTTATTTTAATTTTTTAATTTATTTTATTTATTGAATCAAAATCGATTATACATATTTTGGGGGTTGAACATTGAGATATGTTGATCAAATCAATATTACTAGCATATATATTGTTACAGATCGTAATTATTCTTCATGCCCCTTATCCAACCTCTCCCCTTCCCCCAGTCCCTCCCCCTCCCCCCTCTAATTGCCCTAGATTTCTTCTTTCCTTCTGAAAGAATCATGATTACTCTGTTAATTTGTTTCCTAGATGATCTGTCCAATGCTGAGACATGTGATCGGGTTCCCCACTATTATCATAGAGCAGATGCTGCTTCTGTCACTCTGAAATGGGCTTTGTGGAAAGAGACATCCTTTTCTTTTCTCTGACTCTGCTGGTGACTCTCCTTGTGTGAATGCACTCCAGTGGTTGGTGGACCATTTGCGTGGTGCTTGTGGTGTCTAGTAACTTTTGCAGCAGCCATGGTTATAGTGGGCCACCTACATGGAGGTGCTGTTTCTGGTATGCTCCTTGGCACTGGCGGTATGCCTGGTTGCGGGGTGTGTCTGGTCCCCTTCTCCATGTCTCTGGTCCCTGGGCAGGCCCCAAGTCACTGGCACCATGTGCCAGGTTGTGGGAGATGTGTCCAGTCCCCTTCTCCATGCCTTGGGTCACCAGGTGAGACCCAAGGAGCTGGCTTGGTGTGCCTGGTTGGTGGAGGGGGGTGCAGTCCCTTTCTCCATGCCCCAGGTCCCTAGGCAGGCCCCAAGGTGCTGGCACGGTGTGCCTGGTTGAGGGAAGGCAGTCTGGTCCTCTTCTCCATGCCCCAGGTCTCTGGGTGGGCCACGAGGCACTGGCGTGGCATGCCTGGTTTTGGGAGGAGGGTCCAGTCCCCGTCTCTGTGCCCCGGGTGGGCCCTGAGGCACTGGCATGGTGTGCCTGGTTGTGGGAGGGCAGTCCAGTTCCCTTCTCCATGCTCGAGGTCCCTGGGTGGGCTCCAAGGTGCAGGCACAGTGTGCCTGGTTGTGGGAGAGAGGTACCGTCCCCTTCTCCATGCTTTGGGACCCTGGGCGGGCCCCGAGGTGCTGGTGTGGTGTGCCTGGTTGTGGGAGAGAGGTCCTGTCCCCTTCTCCATGCCTTGGGTCCCTGGGTGGGCTCCAAGGTGCTGGCATGGTGTGCCGGGTTGTAGGAGGGTGGTCTGGTCCCCTTCTCCATGCCCTGGGTCCCTAGGCAGGCCTCGAGACACTGGCTTGGTGTGCCTGGTTGTGGGAGAGAGGTCCGGTCCCCTTCTCCATGCCCTGGGTCCCTGGGCAGGCCCCAAGTGCTGGCATAGTGTGCCTGGTTGTGGGAGGAGGGTCTGGTCCCCGGCTCCATACTGTGGCTCACTGGGCAGGACCCAAGGTGCTGGCTAGGTGTGCCTGGTTGTGGGAGAGAGGTCCGGTCCACTTCTCCATGCCTTAGGTCCCTGGGAAGGCCCCCTATGGAGTGATATTTAAAAAACTCTTTCAATGAAATTTTTTTCTTCATAAAGTATACTATGAACTTTTTCTTTCAGAAAGATGCTCAAGACAGTTTCTCCTTAATCTGTCACAACATCAGTCATATCAGTGAAGGAGGATAGCATAGATGGTCAAATACATCAATAACTCATTACTTATAGATATGTTTATTGCAGGGACTTTAGTAGGAACCTGGTTTAATATTTCTTCCACTTTATTCTCCAGAGTAGATATTATTTTAGGCTCTTTTGTTTCTGTCTGCATCTATTAAACAGTGCTGCCAGGTGATATACAGTCTTCTCTTTTAATTTAGGACATTTGACATTAGTATGTCACCTAGTTGACATGAAAAATGTATATTATTAGGTTTTCATTTGTTCTATTGATAATGCACATGCCACCCAAGTGATCTCTTTGGTCTTAGGATGTTCTAGAAAGCCCAAGTTAATTAGAAACTTTTCAGAGGAGGATACTGTTTGTCATAAGATAACAAAAGCTCATAAGGCCAAGGTGAGGAGCAAAAATCAAATCTACTAACTCAGTTGATAATGGCCCTACTGGTTGTTGTGAGATGCAGGTCGTTAAAATGATAGGAAGAAGGGCCGAGCCCGTGGCGCACTCGGGAGAGTGCGGCACTGGGAGTGCAGCAGCGCTCCCGCTGCGGGTTCGGATCCTATATAGGGATGGCCGGTGCGCTCACAGTGCTCACTGGCTGAGCAAGGTGTGGCCAGTCTCAAAAAGGACAAAAAAAAAAAAATAGGAAGAAGAGTTTGAACTGGGGATTATGAAACATCACAAGGTAAGAAAGGATTATTCTGTGACTTACATGCAATTTAGTTATAATAGATCATTTTGATTTAGGCTGGAAGAATCTATTGCCTGGCTCTAATGATGTCAGTAGGCTTCATATTGTCCACAAAATCTCCTAAGATTTATCAGACCTTGCTTACTTGACCTCTAGTTATCCTTTAGCACTGTTGCCCTCTCCATCCTTTTTGAAACGCTGTCTTCCTCTGGCTGTCCCAGCACGACACTTTGTGACTCTCCTCCAGCCTACTTGCCCTTCCTCTTTGGCAGCGGCCTCCTCTCCCTTGCCATGATTTATTAGAGTTCCATGAGGCTCAGTCCCTGAGCATCTTGCCCCCTTAATCCATACACTCTCCTGGTACCTCCATTCACACCCATGTGATCGACCATAATATGCTAGTTACTGCCAAGCTCCTTCCAAATCCATCTGTCCTTCTGTTCACCTGACACCATCACAGGATATTTCAAAGGCACTTCAAACCAAAACAACTCACCTCAGATGTGGATGACGTTCTTAGTTCTGTATTTCAGTGAATGGCACCACCCCACCCTCTATGTAGTTGCAGAGGCTGAAAGCTATGAGTCGTTCTGGACACCTCATCTTCCTCACTCCCCTGTAGTCCATAATCATTTTCGTGGGCTAAATATTTTTCAGTTCTTCTCCACAATTCCACCATCACCACTCTAGTTCAGATTACCCTTATCTGTCCAATAACTTCCCAAACAATCCCAAAAACTTCCCAAACTTTCCACATGTATACTCGCTCTTCTTTCATTCTTTCATACTGTAGCCAAGAGGATCTTTGCAAAATGCACATCTGATAATGTGGCTCCCTCTCCACACCTCCTTCTTAAAATTCTTACTTGCCTCCCTTGGCCCGAATGCCCACGTGGTATGGTCTCTGCCCACTTCTGTCTGATCTCACTCCACTCTCCTCTTTACACTCTTTACTCTTTACAAGTCACTGAATTCTTCTAGTTTCTCAAACTGTACCTATTGTCACCCCCTATACCAACTCATCACTTCCTCAGGGAAGCTTTCCCTGAATGCCCTGAATGCCCAGGGCCTCCTACAATGAGCTCTTCTTATAACATTGTGCATCTGTACTTAATTGCACTCACCACTATTTTAAATTGTAGGCTTTTGGGGTAATTATCTGGCTAGTGTCTAGCTCTTGCAGTGGACTGGTAGCTCCATGAGAGTGAGAACCATGTCACTTTGCTCATTATTTTATGTCCAGTACGTTACACAGGCCTGGCTTATAGTAGACATTTAATATATTTTCAAAGAAGCATAAAAGGAGTAAGTGAGTTTTAGGAGTGTGATATTATGATATTTACATGTTGGTTTTCATCCACAGTTCCTGGCTCATGCTGCTCTATGACCTTCTGCTGCCCTTCTTTCACCTGCTCCTTTTTCTCCCCAAGGCAAGAACTTCTCTGACCTACCTTATCTGATTATAGGTCATAAGACCCCCATTCCAAAAGGGGTCCTTCCCCCACCTCGGGAGGAAGGAATGCTACAGAGAGGCCAAGAAGAATCTGGACAAACACCTTGCTGGGTTTCCCCACCCAGTCTGTTAATGTGGATCATACCCTTTTTGTCTGATCGCGTTTCCGCATGGTTGTCCATGCTTCACAGGGTTCAGAGGCTTACGGATAGCGGAACAAGTGTAGGTTCCTGAGGGTGGCGTGCCTGGGGAGGGCGTGGGAGCTCCATACCCCTTCTCCGATCCCTCACCCTGTGCATCTCTCCATCTGTATCCTTTGTGATATCCTTGATAATAAACAGGCAAATGTTAAATACTTGTTTCCCTGAGTTCTGTGAGCCGCTCAAGCAAATTAATTGAGCCTAAAGAGGAAAGAGGGGATTATGGGAACTTGATTTATAGCTGGTCAGTCAGAAGTTCCAGGGGCCTGAACTTGTAACTGGCGTCTGAAGTGAGGGCAGTCTTGGGGACTGAGCCCTCACCCTGTGAAATCTGACACTGTCTCCAGGTAGATAGTGTCGGAATTAAATCGAATTAGAGGACACCAAGGTGGTGTTTGCTGATTGACTGCTTGGTGTGGGGGGTGCGGGAGGGAACCCACACATTTGGTCACAGAAGTCTTCTGTGTTGATTATTGTGGTGTAAGAGAATAGAAAAAACTGTTTGTTTTTTCCACTCGGAGGAGCCAACCCGGTTATGCTCTTTCTCACCTTATCCTAGAACAAGGGTTGGCAGACTATGGCTTGAGAGCCAAATCCAGCCCTTCTTCTAGTTTTGTAAATAAAGTTTTATTGTAATTCAGTTATACCCATTCATTTATAAACTGTCTGCAGCTGCTTTCCCACTATCGAGGCAGAGATGAGTAGTTGCAACAGAGTCACAGTGACCCACAAAATACTTACTATCCAGCCCCTTACAGAAAACGTGCCAACTTCTACTCTAGAGTCCTGTGAGCTCAAATTAAAAAAAAAAAAAATAGGTTCTATGAATGGAAACAATACTATCAAGCTAACTTTTGCCTCTTTTTTTAGGTATTTGAAATGATCATTAATCCTGGAGATAATGTCCTCCTAAGTGAACCTGTTTATTCAGGAACACTTCACATTGTGAGTACATATTTTTACAATTCTCATAATAAATAAGAAGAAACCATTGCAACTTTAGAATCATCTGTCCAATGGGGCTGCCCATTAGCTCAGTTGGTTAGAGTGTGGTGTTGTAACACCAAGGTCAAGTGTTCGGATCCCCTTACTGGCCAGCCACAAAAACAAACAAACATTGGCTTTAAAAAAACAAAGAAAGAAAGAAGAATTATCTGTCCACTGAAAAAAAAATAGCATTTTTGATCTATAAACAGAGGATCTTAAATGATATATGCAACATATGTTAAACATACCCTCTGCTTTATAAATTTCTTTAAAATCCAAATGTATATGTGCTAAAATTAGGTTGTGCAAAATCATATCCAATTTTCTGAATATTTCACTTGAAATGTGACTCAAACTACAAAAACTTACTTTTTCATTGTCATGTTTTATGACCATATGCCTAAGTATAACCATGGTATGGGTCAATTTAATATATCTCTAAACTAACATGGTATAATTACGGATTTCTACTCCAGTGTTAAATCAATGACACTATAATATCCAGAATGGGGAAGCTGATCATCTGACTCTGCTGCGCACTGGCCAGAACACACCACTGAGAATTATATTTGTTTGGGGCACACTGTGATAGAAATATCCACAAACTGGAGCACATTCAGTCAAAGTGAATAGGGAATTGGAAAGCACCGCGTATGATGAATGGTTAGAGGAACTGCAGCTGCTTTATCCAAAAAGAGAAGATTCAACAGAGACATGAGGATTGTTCTCAAATATACAAAAGTTAACCATGTGGCAGAAGAATTAGATTTATTTGTGCATGTCCTTAGGTTGACAAAACTGAAACCAAAGAATGGTAACTACAGGGAAACAATTTCAACTCAGTATAAGAACTTTCTAACCATTGGCCACACCTAACTGTCTAAGGAGGAAAAGCACTGCCTGTCACTGCAGGTGCTCAAAGTTACTCTCGATCACCATCGAACACAAATATTGTAAAAGTAATTTTAGCTTACTGTAGAGGAATTGAATGAGATGACCTTTATGCTGTATTGATTCTAACTTCATGGATTCTTTTTTTTCTTTTTTCCAAATTTAATGTTATTTTTGTAGAAATCAATATATAAAGCAATATATAAAATAATACCATTTATAATAGCATCCAAAAGAATAAAATACCTAGGAATAAATCTTTAAAAGGAGGTGAAAGACTCGTACATTAAAAACTGTAAAACCTTGATTAAAGAAGACCTAAATAAGTGGAAAGATATCCCCAGTTCATGCTTTGGAAGACTTAAAATTGTTAAGATGTCTATATTACCCAAAGAAACCTACAGATTCAATGTAATCCCTATCAAAATTCCCACAGACTTTTCTGCAGAAATAGAAAAGCTGATCCTCAAGATCATGTGGGATTTTAGGGAGTTGTAAGATGGCCAAAACAATCTTGAAAATGAAGAGCAAATTTGGAGGACTCACACTTCCCAATTTTGAAACCTACTACAAAAGCTACAATAATCAGAATAGTATAGTACTGGCATATGGATAGACATATAGACTAATGGAGCAGAACAGAGAATCCAGAAATAAACCCTAAATACAATTGATTTCGGCAAGGTGCCAAGACCATTCAAACGGTGCTGGGACAACTGGATTTCCACATAAGCAAAAGAAAGAAATTGGACCATTACCTCACTCCATATAAAAATTTAACACAAAGTGGACCAAACACCTAAATGTAAGAGCTAAAACTATAAACTTTTAGGAGAAAAAACAAAAGGGCAAATCCTCATGACCTTAGCTTTGGCAATGGATTCTTTTAGATACGATACCAAAAACACAAGCATCAACAACAGTGACAATAGAAATAGATAAACTGAGGGCTGGCTGGTTAGCTCAGTTGGTTAGAGCATAGCCTTATAACACCAAGGTCATGGGTTCGGATCCTCTTACCAGACAGTGTCCCCAAATAAATAAATAAAGATTATTCTTTTAAAAAAAAATAGATAAATTAGACTTCAGAATTAAAAATCTTTGTATGTCAAAAAATGTTATTAGGAAAGTGAAATAACAGCCTACAGAATGGTAGAAACTATTTACAAATCATAAATCGGATAAGGGTTTAATATTCCAAATATATAAAGAACTCCTACAACTTGACAACAAAAAGACAAACAGCCCAATTAAAAAGTGCACTAAAGGGCCAGCCCGTGGCTCACTCGGGAGAGTGTGGTGCCGATAACACCAAGGCCGTGGGTTCGGATCCCATATAGGGATGGCTGGTTAGGTCACTGGCTGAGCGTGGTGCTGACGACACCAAGTCAAGGGTTAAGATCCCCTTACCGGTCATCTTTTAAAAAATAAAAATAAAAATAAATAAATAAATAAAAAGTGCACTAAAGTCTTGAATAGCCATTTCTCCAAAGAAGATATGCAGATGTCCAATAAGCCCATGAGAAGATGCTCAACATTATTAGTCATTAGAGAAATGCAAATCAAAACCACAGTGAGATACTACTTCACACCTATTAGGATGGCTAATATCAAAGACAAAAACAAAATAATAAGTATTAGGGAATATGTGAAGAAATTAGAACCCTTGTACGTTCCTGGTAGAAATATAAAATGGTGCAGCCCCTATGGAAAACAGTTTGTCCATTTCTCAAAAAGTTTAAAATAGAATTTCCATGTGACCCACAATTCTACCCCTAAGTATATGCCCAAAAAGAATTAAAAACTAGGGCTGAACTGTTAGCTCAGTTGGTTAGCATGTGGTGTTATAACACCAAGGTCAAGGGTGCAGATCCCTGTATCTACCAGCTGCCGAAAAATAAAAAAATTAAAATTTGTCAAAAATGGAGTCTGGATTATTCCCACTTCATACATAATAATTCGTGATTATTCCCACTAGATCTGACTACTAAAAATACTGTTTGCTTTTCTTGTGCATTTTTTCCCAAGGATCCTCACTAAATGACTGCTATTTACTAAGTTCCAATTTTTTTTTCTTCACGTTCATCCATGAATAAGATTGCACAAGATTTTTATAAAACTATCTCTATAAGGAATGCCAAAATGTGCCAATTCAGCCTTAGCAATTGGTAAAATACTGAAATACTTCTACACTGATTGGCAAGCCACTCATCCCCTAAAGTGCCCCAACAGCACCCTGGCTTCCCTGGCCCCTCACCTAGGACCACCCTGAACTTCCCATGATAGAAAGTTAATGCTGGCATAGCAGGGGCCCTCCTGGACCCCATTCCAGCCCACACCTGTATCTGATGTGCCCATGCTAAATAAACCACTTGCTAATTTTTTTTTTTTTTTTTTAAAGATGACCGGTAAGGGGATCTTAACCCTTGGCTTGGTGTTGTCAGCACCACGCTCAGCCAGTGAGCTAACCGGCCATCCCTATATGGGATCCGAACCCAGGGCCTTGGTGTTATCAGCACTGCACTCTCCCAAGTGAGCCACAGGCCAGCCCCACTTGCTAAATATTTTAAATATCACCCTTGTTTGCAACTAGTTTATATATAAGCACAACAGATGCTTTGTGTGATTCACTTACACTGTCAAAAAACATTCATTAATAAACACCTACTTTATGAATCAGTTCTAATTCTAATTATAAAGATAATTCAGTCAGAAGAGTCTAGGTTATGCTATGGAACAAGTGGCCCCGATGTCTCCGTGGCTTACAGCCACTGCAAAGGTTCATTTCTCTCTCATGCTATGTATCCACCACAAGACCGCTGCAGCTCTGTTCCATCACATCTTCATTTCAGCCCCACGCTGACAGAAGCAGCCTCTGTCTGGAACAATGCCAATCCCAGAGCAGAGGGAGAAGAGTCACAGAGAACCCTAAGCTACATTCTAGTGCTTCTGCCTGGAAGGAACACACATCATTACTGCTCACAGTTTATTGGCTACAGCAAGACACATGGCCAAGCCCAACATAAGTGGTGCAAGAAGTATAATCCTTCTCCTGAGAAGGGACAGCAGATATTTTGGGACAATAATGGAATCAACCCCAGGGGAACAATAGAATTAAAATATACAATCTCAACCCTCAGAAGATTATAACTGAGGTTTATAGGCTTACGGATATAAATGGGAACATTCCTGGCTAGTATAAAAATAAAAAATAAATAAAACAATGGCACTTACATTTTGTCACCATGTCTAACTCTTGGGCTTTTTTTTTGTGCTCATTAGCTACAACCGCTGGGCTGCAACATTATTAATGTTTCCAGTGATGAATATGGGATTATTCCAGACTCCCTCAAAGAAGTACTTTCCAGATGGAAACCAGAAGATGCAAAGGATTCCAAGAAAAACACCCCCAAATTACTTTATACTGTCCCAACTGGAAACAACCCTACTGGAAGCACCTTAAGAAGTGACCGAAAAAAGGAAATCTATGAGGTATTTTAAAGAATGTGTTAATGTAGTTATGTCCCTGCTTCTTCTTGACTTTTTAGAAGTATACTGTGCAAGTTCCCTTTCTTATTAGCCTTTTGCTTTCAAGGAAGATAATTTTTAATAAAAGGGAGTTGTCTATACCAAGGGTCCTAATAAATTTAGACACAATATGTGTCTACTTCCATTGTTAATTGTAAGATTTTTCTTTTTTCTTAGTTGATATTTTGATACAAAAGAAATAATATTCTTGGTCTGATGTTAAATTTTATATGATTCTTTCTTTAATATTTGACTCCAAGTTTCATTTTCATTATTTTATATTTGTGTTAACTTGTGTATTCTACTTCCTACTCCTTATCATTTCAGGTTACAAAGAATTCTTTAAAAATAAGAGGCATGCTCCTGTTTTATAAAATCTCTTTTAGGTACCTGTGATGCCAAGCTGTTCACTATAAACATTTCTTTTAAGTATCAAACATATATTGAGCTATACAGAAATCTTTGAAATATAAGAAATAATATGCCTTTTGTAAAGTCTCTTTTATGTACCTGAGTGTGCTCTCTAACGTTTCACTACAAATAGCTTTTTAAAATAAGTATCAAGTCCCTGTGAATGTGTTTAATCATGTGCAGTGGAATCATAAGAAAGATTTCAACCAGTTCCTTTTACTTAGAAAATATACGTAGTAGTCTCCCCTTGTCCGCGGTTTCGCTTTCTGCGAGTCAAGTTACTAGCGGTTAACCACAATCAGGAATATCGTCATGGCTCATCATGACTCAGTGATCCAGGATCACTTAAAGCAAATGATCATCCTTCTGATCTATCATCAGAAGTCAGCAGTAGCCTAACGCTATGACACACGCCTATGTCATCCACCTCCCTTCATCTCATCACGTGGGCATCGTGTCATCTCACATCATCACAGAAGGATGAGTACAACAGAATACTTTGAGAGGGAGGGAGACCATGCTGTATTACAGTATGTTGTTATAATAGTTCTATTTTATTATTAGTTGTTATTGTTAATTTCTTACTGTGCCTAATTTATAAATGAAACTTTATCATAGGCATGTACATCTAGGAAGAAACAGTATGTATAGGGTTCAATACCATCCGCAGTTCCAGGCATCCAGTGGATGTTTTGGAGCATATCCCCCACGGATAAGGGGGGATTGCTGTACGTTTAAAATACTGTCTTTTTCTTTTTCTGTATGCCCTCCCTGGCTCTGTCCTGAGTTCTTCTCTACTCTGTTCACATACTGGCCCCCAGACAGCCTCATCCAGTTCCATGGCTATAAATTCCAGTCTGTATATGATGACTGCCTGACCTCTTCCCTGAACGCCAGCCTTTTGTATCCAACTTTCAACTTGGTATCTCCATGTAGATGTCCAATAGGCATTTCAAACTCAGCATGATCAAAATAGAACTCCTGATTTTCCCCCGCCCCCGCCCCAAGCCCCTCATCCAGAGCCCCTCACATTCTCCATCCCCATAAGCAGCATGACCATGCAATTACCCTTTATTCCTCTTTCCCTTCTCCCCGGCCCTGCCCCCGCCATAGCTAGTCCATCCTGCGGACTCCACCACACGTTTATCCAAATCCATCCATTTTTCTCCACTACCTTTCCAATCCACATCTTCTAAGACACTGCTTGCCCTCACTGGGCTACCACAAGGACTTCTTCACTGCACCCTGCTGCGGGTCACTCTTGGTCTCCAAGCAGTCTTTCCTCACACAGCAGCCAGTCACATGCCTCCCCTCCAGAGATATACATGTAAAGCTGGTCTCATGGTTCTCCTGGTACAATCCTCCAGTGGCTTGCCCTTTCAGTTAAAATAGAACCCAAATTCCTATATTTGCCTTGCAAAGAGATGTGACGTGGTCAGTCAGTTCTTAAGCCATATCTCTTATCCTCCTTGCTGCAGCCACACAGGCCTTCTTTCTATCTCTTAAACATGCCAAGTTTTTTCTCACCCAAGGGCCTTTACCCTCACTCATGCCTCGGTCTAGAATCTTCTTCTCTGGTATTTGCAAAACTGACTTCTTCCTGTCATTCTGAGCTCTAGTGTTACCTTGTCAGGAAGGGCTTCCCAATGATTCCAATTGAAATAACTACCCTATCATTCGCTTTCTCAAATGTCACCTGCTTTAATGCCCTGCCTGGCACTTTGAAACTATCCATCTAATAATTCCTTCTTTCCATTATCCACTGGCTTGTATCTATTCTGTCTCTTCCTCTAGAATGTAAGTTCCTTGAGAATAAGAGCATTTAGTGCCTTGTTCATCTCTTTATCCTCACTGTCTAATACCATAGACACTCAATAGCTTCTTGAATGAATGAATGAGCACAAAGAATTATGATTCCAAATGATTTTAATTTTAGATAGCTCTTAAATAAAAATATTACTTTAACCTATTTTTAGCTTGCAAGAAAATATGATTTCCTCATAATAGAAGATGACCCTTACTATTTCCTCCAGTATGGCAAGGTAAGTGACAATGCGAACTTATTTCACTATTAGAAGATAAGTTGTTATAAGTCAGAGCACTGCATTTGATATTTGGCTGGCTGCTGACTCAGTGCTAATTCACTTTTACACTGCAATTAAATGAATTATTATTAATTTGCTGCCACTTCAATTTTCAGTCTTCCACTTTTATCATGGGATTACTACTTTCATTTTTTGTATTACTGCTCTTGCCAGAAATTACTTACCTTCAAAATAGCAGCTGTCTTTCTGCCCATGCATTTGGGCAAACAGAGGGAGTCAGGGCTGAGGGTCTTCTTGAACTCTAGATCCTAGTTCACAGTTCCTTAAGCATCATACCAGGGATGAGAAGTGGGTTTCATCTTGGATGTCAACTTCAGTCCCTTGGTAGTGGCTGACTGGATGACATCAGAGAAGGATCAGGAAGTTGTGTTCAAGCTGAAGGAGATAAAGGGTTGTGCTCAATTCGTGATGCCTGTTACGGGCACAGGAGAAGGTGTTACAGGCAGGCATGCCACATATTTGCCATCCCTGTCATTTATGTCCTGAATCTTATCTGCAGAATAATGGGCTTTTAGATTCATTCTGACTATAGCTGTATGCTACTTTTCATGATTACTCTTTTCTAATAGACAATAGTAGTGATAGAGACAACCAGTTCCTGACTTCTCAAAATCCAACACTTTCTTTGCTCTCAGGGCTGCAAAAAAACATATACTTAAATTCAGCTCTCTCTTTAAACATACTGAGAAGAAATAAAAACTCTTGATTTCTCTCTAGAATTTGCCAGAACATCACTTCTGCCTGCCTACCTTCCACCCTCAGCCTGGCCATGGCCCCCGTTTCTCATTTATACCTATTTTTGAAGTACAAAGTCAATATTTCATACTGACTACATTTATCATCTTCGTTCTCATCTTTTTTATCTTTCTAGTTGGTTCTAAGGATCAACATTTTCTCTCTAAACAGCCCTGAATGCTCTGGCCCTTGTCATTTTGATCTTGTCCAAACTAGTTTTTCTTAAGTCCTTCCTCTAAATCTGTTTATCCTGAATTTCAACCATTGGGCAGGGAAGGCCTGTTAGAGATTTCCTGAAATTCGTAATAATGGCATTGCTATGGGTCACCTGTGTTCCCCAAATGCTCATGTACTGGAAACTGTTAAGAGGGTGGGAAATCCAATTATGATATTTGAAAGGTGAGGCCTTGAGAGTTGATTGGATCATGAGGACTGTGCCCTCATGAATGGACTAATCCATTCATGAAGTAATGAGTTATCATGGGTGCAGTTCTGATGGCTTTATAAAGAGAGCGAGTGAGAAGGGTAGCATTCTTGCTCAGCCCATTGTCACCATGTGACACCCTGGTCACCATGGCACCTGTAGAGGGTTCCCATCCAGATGAAAGCCCTAACCAGATGTGTTTCCTAGACCTTGGACTTCCCAGCCTCCAAACTATAAGAAATAAATTTAATTTCTTATAAATTACCCAGTTTCACGTATTCTGTTATAAGCAACAGAAACGGACTAATACAGGTATCTTGGGCAAATAAGGAAGCCCTTGTGTGTGTTTTTGACAGAAAAACCATGAAGACAGTCAGATGCTAGTAATAAAAGAACACACATCTCTGTTTCTTATTCCATGTTAAAGGGTTGAGATAAAGGTAAGTGATACTTGTGCTATTTGTTATCTAATTCCATGCCCTCTGCACTCTATGCAACATAATCATACAGTGAATAACAGAGCTCTCAAGCCAACAGTTTTTTGATTTTTGTTTTTTTCGTTTTAAGTCCCGGCCACCAACATTTCTTTCTATGGATGTTGATGGGCGTGTGATCAGAACTGACAGTTTTTCGAAAGTCATCTCCTCTGGGTAAGGCCTTCTGTCTCTAACTTGAGGGTAAATCTAAAAGAGCCAGAGACTGCACATCAGTATCTTTTAGTCCACACAATTTTTTTCGTTTAAGGTACTTGTATTCCACTTGCCTTAAAACACAAGTTTCATTGTTATTACTCACACAGGCCTTTACTCATCTCCAGTAGTCAAAGATACTTGGCCATTAATCTAAAGTTGTAGTGGGACTGGTCAGGTTTTGGTATCATTACAAAAGAGTACATTTGGAAATACTTGGTTATACTTGCATTTATTTTAAATGCACCCTTAAATTTAAATTTGTATTTGAAATGAGAAGTACTTAGTTTTATTAGAATGCTTTGATTCTCTAGGTCCATTTGTCCCCAGGTCACAACTCTCTTCCTAATGAAAAATCAGTAAAATGATATGTATTAATTGTTCATATGGGAATGGTATCATGCCTTTTCTCTTTTTGTGTAGATTGAGAATAGGGTTTATAACTGGTCCACAACCCTTGATAGAGAGAGTTGTTTTACACATACAAGTTTCATCACTGCAACCCAGTACTTTTAACCAGGTAAGGACAATTCAGGATACAGGATTTTTTTTTTTAATTAGATCAGAACAGAAAATAGATGATAAGGAGCAAAAATTCCAAACCTGTTTAGTGACTCATTATTTGCCTTCCTTGCACATGTGCCAACCTCTCCTGGACACATTGGTTAGAATGCATTTTAATTAAAATAAAGTAAAATTAATTTTGGAGAATGTATAAATGCCCTGACAAGCTTTGAGAAATTATTGGATCCATCCCTAAATACAACCTTGAGAATTGCTACTTAAGAATTCAAAATGAATAGAAAAGTTTGTACAGAATAGGATGTTTATTTGACATTGTACATTCCATAAAGTGCAGATGTCCCTATGTTTTACCAAGTTGCAGGCTTTTTTCCATATTTTTGTATCTGTTATCAACAGAAGTTCACTATTCATTTACAATATTTAAAACTTCCATTTTAGGTAGGAAATCTCCAAATACATTACATAACCTTATCTACTACGTATTTTTTTTAAATCTTTTGAGAGGCAGGACGGTATGTCAGTTAATAGCATGGATCTGGAGCTGGATAGTCTGACTCTGAATCTGGGCTCTGTGACTAGCTGTTGACTTAAAGTTAGCAGGAAAGTTAACTTAAACCTTGTGCCTCAATTTCCTCATCAGTAAAATAGAAATTTATGATGATCGAATTAGCTAAAATATATTAATATGTTACAATAGTGCCTGGCACATAACAAGAATTATATAAATATTTGTTATTTTTACTGTTGTTGTCATTATTTAACATTTACTATAAATCACTAACTATATAAGCCAGGTTCAGCTTGTTATATCTTCTTATGGTTGTTTACATGTAAATCAAGAGTGATTTGCTTTCACATTTGACCAAAGAACACATTTTTAGGAGATGAACTATGACATTTCTTATTGTTTCATCTCTTTTAGTTTATGATATTACAGCTTCTACAACAGTGGGGAGAAGAGGGCTTCCTGGCTCATGTTAACAGGTATTGAATCATTTGTTAAAATGTTTATAAACTAAATGGGAGCCCAGTGGATATTATATTATAGAGCACCCAGAGAGTTGATTCATTATTCTTCCTTCGTAATCGTAAGATAAACCACAGGAGCAGTCTATTAGAATTGGAAAGTCTACTAGTTCTATTAGATCAGCTAGAAAGTCTTCTAGGAGCATCTAAGGTGTGGTTTAAAAGCAGCATCCACACACACCTAAGGTAATCTAAAATTCCCACCAGTTTAGGATTCACTTATTTAACTGATTTAAAGGGTAAAGTATTCATACACATAAATATTTTATTTAATGATCAATTAACTGTGAGGACACATGACACAGGAATTGGCTTAAGTATAGATAAGTGAAAACATAATTTGCCTAAACAATCAGTATATTGGTTAAAGTTATTAATTACTCTAGTTATATAAATGTGGTACTCGTAGGCAATTTAGAAATAAGGAGAAACAGGGTATCTTCATTCCCAGACCATTGATTCATCATTTCAATATTATTTTCTTGATCCTGAGCATTCTCCTACCCTGCAAATGATCATCATTATTTCAGACAACGAAAGATTGGTGCTGCTACCTCTGCTACTTCTAAGTTCCATGTTTTACATAGAAATAGACTTTGCTTTATTAATTTTCATTTTCGGATTATTCCACAATAAAGGAAAAAAACACAACGGTAAAAAGTTTATCACCAGACAAGTCAAACAAGTATGCTCAATATTTTAATCAAAATAGAAAACAAATTCTTATAGCCTGAACTCCAGACTCTTTTTCTTCCTGCAATCAGTGTTCTGAACACATCCTTTTCGTTGTTTTCTTATTTTAGAGTTATTGATTTCTATAGGAAACAGAAGGATGCAATGCTGGCAGCTGCAGACAAGTGGTTAGGTGGTGAGTGAAACGTGCAACCGCCCTTGTGATAAACAGTCACACCAGTGTGAGTGGGTGATAAACACCACATTGTATTAGAAATCCTGACGGAAAAGAAACCGCAGTCCAGGAGTACTCTTGCCAAGGAAATGTTACCGTATAAATTATCTCAGTAGTGACATTCTACAACCCAGGCACAGTTCTACCAATCTCTACTTTACCCGTCTGGGGCAAAGAATTTCTGATTTAAAAAAAAAAAAATAGTCTAAAAATCAATGAGAATAACTTACTGAAAGCTAAATAATGTCTAGATTCAAAAAATTTTAGTTATTTTTAAATGTGGCTCCAGATAGAAGAGGAATTGTCACACTCCTTTTCTAACTAAACTATACAAAGACAAAATAGTGCAATCTAAGGGAGATCTCTCGTTACAAATTATTTGCCTTCTAATCATTAACTTCATTTAACTGTCTAACATTATCTGTGGCTAATACGTGTTTTAGATTTATTTTTCCATTATAGAAGAAAATCAAATGAATTACATGGCTTTAATTATACTATTTAAAATGCCTTTATATCAATTCCTTATTTCATTCATAGGTCGTTCTTTATGAAGTCTTGATAAAAATAGAATTACAGTATTATCTTTTTAAAAATAAGAGTACCATTCTGCAACTTTGCATAGTAGTGCTAAAGAAAAAATTTTAATCAACAGCAAGTTTGTCTTAAAAAAAGTTAGTAATTAAAATCAAAATAATTATCCTTTCTTCTTGATTTCTCTATCCTAATACTCAATGAAACATAAAGCCTACAAATGCCTCTGGAATTCTTGAATTTTAAGCACTTCCTTTCATAATTAATTACATTCTGATAAGAACTCTAATCCCCTGGGCTTCTAAACTATTACATAAATGATAGGACTTATTAAAATGCTTGAATTGAAACAGCCGTATTTGTCCTAAGTACGGTTCTAATTCCATGAAGGAGAGAGAGGCCCTAGACCTGCACCACTGGAGACTGCCATTGTAGATACTGCGCACGTGGCTATTATTCAGTCTTCCTTTCACCCCTCCCTCACCCACACTTGACTCTGAAATAAAACCCAGGACATCAATTTTCAGGACTTATTAAGTTATATTTGTAAAAATGCTATCCCTGAAGGAACTTACAAACACTAGTTTATAGTTACTGCACTTAGGCCATTTAACCATATGTTTGATATAATCGAAAAACTCCTTCCTTTGGAAAACATTTATTCTCTTGTTTGTAGATTTGGCAGAATGGCATGTTCCTACTGCTGGAATGTTTCTATGGGTTAAAATTAAAGGCGTGCATGATATAAAACAACTGGTTGGAAAAGAAGACTTTAAGAAAGAGGTAAAACTGGGGGAAGGGGTGCTAAAGAAAAGTAATGCTTTTTCTGTAAAGTAATTTTTTACTTGAATAAAAGTAGAAAGATGTTTTTTGTTGCTTGCCACCCAACTCATAATGTTCTAATAATAGATATGTTATCTCATTATTAAAATCGTAACAGGCTTTTAAGTTATGTAATTATCCAGCTGGTCTAAATTATTGGAAATCTAGTCATTGATCTCAGCTACTGGTTAGCTTAGTGGATAGAGACATCTCTGGAGCCACACTCCTTGAGTTTGAATCCCAGTTCCACCCCTTAATGAATGTGTGGCATTAGATAAATTACTCTCTCTGTGCTTCCTCTGTAAGATAGAGATAAGAATCCCCCCTCAGAGGGATGCTATGATGATAAATGAATTAATATGTGTAAAGCACTTAGGCTAATACTTGCATGTGATAAATGCTCAGTAAGTATTAGCCATTAGTATTGAAAACACAGGGACATTTTTCCTGATAATGGAAGTAAAGTCTACTCATGGTAGGAAATTTGTAAAATGCATAAAAGCATAATGAAAACTTTTAAAATAGCCCATAATTTCACCACCCAGATTTTGTGACCATTTATGGTGTATTTTCTAAATTATATATATTCTAGTATTTTGGCTGTGCAATTATTTTGCATGGTTAAAATTACACAGAAAAGTTTGTAGCCTGATTTTTTCACTTAAAATTAGCTCATGAAAATGTCTTCTAGGTTGCTGGGTTGTTGGGGTTTTTTCCTCCTTTAATACTTAAATCATTAAGTCTACTTAGATTTCATTTGGGAGCATTGATTAAGCTGAAAATTCTAAATATTTTTCTGTGTAGCTTTCCAATTTACCAAATAAATTATCCCTTTTCCATTAATTGATTGCATTATTATGTTTGCAAACCTTTTGTAATCACTGAGTTCTGTTTCTAGAGTCACTTTTGTCTTGAAGCAATAAGTACAAAGGAATAGATTGGGTTGACGACAGCAAAGTACCATGCTCATGCATAAGAGACAAGGTACTCTAGCAGTTAGATCTAAAGACACATGGCCTGGACTTCAGTCTTAGCTCCAGTGTCTTGGAAAAGTCATTATCCTTTCTAACCATCTTACTTGAGGGCCAGACTCATGCTTAATTAATTGTTATAATCCTAGTAACAGCATGTAGTAGGTACTAAATATTTAACTGATTTATTTCAAATAAACGCATTTTAGTATACTAAATCAATTTGATGGGGCCGGCCCGTGGCTCACTCGGGAGAGTGTGGTGCTGATAACACCAAGGCGCCGGGTTCGGATCCCATATAGGGATGGCCGGTTCGCTCACTGGCTGAGCGTGGTGCTGACAACACCAAGTCAAGGGTTAAGATCCCCTTACCGGTCATCTTTAAAAAAAAAAAAAAAATCAATTTGTTGTTTTCTTTGCTTTTCTGTCAATGCCATTATCAAATACATTTAGTAAATAGTTGCTTGTGTGCCTCTCTGAACTAGGTGCTATGGATATAGACTTCGTGTTTCACTGCACTTTTTTCAGTCCTCCTCATTTATTCCCTATATTTTGCTGCATGTTCCTTTACCTTTTCTAAATAATCTCCAACTTTATCACCACCGCCTTAGCCCAGAGTTTGGTCATCTTGCAAAGAGATTATTACCACTCCCTCCTTCTCTTACAGATCCTTGCTTCTAGTACAACTCAAAACTTTTCCACTATATTGGAGAAAATGATGGCTTTCATTTTATTGTTAATTAGGACAAAGAAACCCATATTCTGCTTGAAATCTTTTCCCCAGAGCACCCCAGATCATTTCACTCCCAACTCATCTTGCTTTAGCAGACAGTGCCCAGATTTATACCATGTAGCAACAAGCAGTTACTTAATTCTTTTGAAGATCATGATTGTACTAGTTAATGCTAATTGCTATAAAAGATAAACTCCAAAATCTCAAAGACGTAACACAATAGAAGCTTATTTCTGACTCACATGAAATTCAAAGATGTGATCTGCCCACACCTCTGCTCCAACAGTGATTCCGGGACACTGGCTTTTTCTGTCTTGTTGCTCTTCAGTCTTCAACACATGGAGTTCGAAGATCGCTACGAAACGGAAAGAGCATGGTGGATCACACATGGGAAGATGCGTATGAGCCAGTCCTTGAAGTAGCATATATGACTTTGGCTCACATCCATTGTTTAGGATTCACTCACACGGCCACACAAAACTGGAAAGAGGCCAGGCAGTAAAGTGTATTTGTATGCCCAAGAGGAAGAGGAAATGGAGTTGACAATCAGTGAGCTGTCTCTGCCATAGTCCCAGTGATAGCAGTGTTCACACCACTCCATCTACGCACACATACTTAACATTTTTATTCCTTTACTTTATATATTAAATTTTCTACCTCCCTTCAGTTCTTTGCACCAATTTTCTTCCCATTTCAGGGCCTTTATGCTGTGTGTCTTCTCCCTGAAATACTGTTCCCCTCTTTTTGCCTGGCCAACACCTACCTTTCAGGCCCCTGTTTAAAAGTCCCTTCAAATTTGATAACTTAAAAATGGTATCTTATTGTTTGGGTTTATATTACTTTTCTAGTTAGGCCCAACATTCATTGGTATTTATTACTGTCTTTATTTCTTTAGTAAGTTGTCCTTTGTACATTAAAGCTAGAATTTTAGCTTTTCCCCTCTGTTTCTGTGCATTCTTTATATAGAGAGAAGAGATAGCATTTGCCATATTTAATGTAAATATTTGTTCCAGTTTGTATGTGTTTTGTTATTGCATGACATGCACATTTTTCTTTTTTTTTTTTTTTTACATTTTTCTATAAATTGTTTTTTCTCTCGTGATTTCTTTAACTGTTTAAACTTAAAACGTTCCTTCTCACACTGAGATTAGGTTATTTCTGTATTCTTTTAATTTTTCTTAACAGTACATCACTTATTTTCCACAAACTCTCTTAGATATTAATGTTTCCTGGAAACGATTTCCAAATCGATAGCTCAATTCCTAGCTCCTACTTGAGAATGTCCTTCTCTTCAGCTTCGCCAGAACAGATGGATGTGGTGAGTACAATACTCTTTTCCAAGTAACACTAGCTGTCAGTTCTTTTTTCTATTTTTAATGCATGTGTTTACTTTGTTAAAATATTACTTAATGTCTTCTTGGGTTTCTAAAACCCAGATGTTAGCTGACTAGTCAAGAACTACCAGTGAAAGACTTATTTTATTTTGTTGACAGACCTCTATAGACAAATGAGACTAAGTTGGAGTTAAAATTTGTTGTCTTTATGAATAATTTTTCAGAATTTACTGACAGTGTTGGGAAATTACCAACATGTTATGAAGAAAACCTCTTTTCTTCCTTCATAGTATTAACATGAGCCCAAAGTACAAATTCATGATAGCTATCGGTCTCTTTCTCTGACAAAAAAAAGTATCAGCAAGGATCAAATAGAAAAATATTCTTAAAGTAATCATAGTCTAGCTTTAACCAAAATAACAAGAAGCAGGAAAACAAAATCCTAAGGACTGTATGTCTGGAAATCCAAACAGAAGACCTGTAAATTGAACAGTGCCGTGAACCATAAGAGTCTGTACTTATCCTTGGAGATGAACACTTTTGGCATGTTCTTTATTTACTTGCTTTCTCGTATCATTAAATATGCTTTTCATAAGTTCTCTCTGCTTTTATGAATGAGAAGAGTTGGACTGTTGAAACTATATAGAATGAGTATGCAGGAGAGATATTATATGAAAACATAAAATCATTCGTGTTATTATGTTATGGATAAAATAGAAAATGATGATCTTAAGGGCTATAAGGCAAAAAAAAAAAAAAAATCCTGAAAATCTGATGTGCTTGTACCTATATGGTTTGATAAACATTGATGGCATCCTGTCCACATAAAACTGATGTTAAACTTGACTTTTCATTACCTTATCTTAACCTTAGATGATTACTCTGTTTGAATTTTTAAAGTTATGACATACTTTTCCAAAGTAGCATTCAATTTCTTCATTTCCTGTCTTTTTTCTACTTTAGGCCCTCCAGAAATTAGCCCAACTTATAAAAGAATCATTATGAAGAATCTTTATGAAGAAATCGTACTATTTGTGGATTTTTCATATAGATAATATGTTTTAGCAGGAAGAAATGATCACTGGGTATTAGACTTACAGATTGGATTTCATCAGATGTGAATATCTGTAGTAGTTTAACTGGACAACTTTTAAAGTGCCTTTAAATCCATCAGATTGCCAAAATATTCTTGTAATCTACTTATGCCTTTTGATAAATTTTCAACCTACAAAAAATTATTTTTACCTTGGATTTTATTATAAAGAACTCTGTAGTTGCTTTATAATTTCCCATAAATTGTCTTTGAAAATGACATGTTACACTAAATTATTTTGAAAATCGAAGGAAATAATCAAGTTCAAAATGATATAATGTGTACTTTTTCTATTTTTAGGAAAATTTAATGAGAGGTTGTTGTAAAAATTGTTTTAATTTGACCATTATAAATGATTTTTAGTAAGAATATCATAGACATTATGTTCTGCCACAGAAATCCTTTTAAAATAAAATTCTGATGGAAATCATCATGTCAAAAGGATACCTGCACTCCCATGTTTATAGCAGCTCTATTTACAATAGCTAAAAGCTGGAACCAACCTAAATGTCTATCAACAGATGACTGGATAAGGCAAATGTGATAGGTATAAACGATGGAATATTATTATGCCATAAAAAGGAATGAACTTCTGCATTCGCAGCAACATAAATGAACTTAGAGAAAATTATGTTAAGAGAAATAAGCCAAGCACAGAAAGAGAAATACTGCATGTCCTCACTCATAAGTGGGAGCTGAAAAAAAATAATAGTAAAAATAATAAATAAACAAAAAGAAAGAAAGAAAGATATAACAATCACACTAATTTGTTAAACTTTCAGAAAGAACGGGAACTGAGACCACCAGAGATGGGAAAGGGGGAGTGGGAGGGAAGGTTAGTGAGAAATTGGTAAAAGGCCACAAAAAACTATTACATTGTGTAATGACAAATGTAATAATAAAAATAAAGACCTGAAACCTGAAAAAAAAAGTAAAATGAAATAAAATTCTGAAACTAAACATACCTAAAGACATTAAATCTATTAATTCTAAGTAAGGAGGGGAGGTCATGGACTTAGGAAAATTTGCTATGTTGTGTTTCCATAATACTATATAATTTACAGAAGCACATTTTTATCAGTTATGTAATTGAAATCTACTACAACCCTTTGAAGTATTAGGATATACTTTTTTTTTTTCTTTTTTTGTGACTGGTATGGGGAGCATAACCCTTGGCTTGATGTCACCCGCCCCACGCTCAGCCAGTGAGCGCAGCGGCCATCCCTATATAGGATCTGAACCCGTGGCGGGAGCGCCACTGCGCTCCCAGCGCCACACTTTCCCGAGTGAGCCACGGGGTCGGCCCTAGGATATATTTTTTAAATGATTTTCTTTCTCACCTTTTAAAATCTTTACTTTCCTATCTGATTATTAAAGTAAGTTATGCTCATTTTTTAATTTTAAACAATCCACAAAGTATAAGGAATAAGGTTTAAAAGGCACTCACACACACCCCCCAGTGATAACTGCTGTCAACATTTATGTGTCTTCCTTTGACATGTTGTTCTATGGATACATATGTAATATGTAAAAGAATAAGGTCTCATGTGACAGTGTATCATAAATACCCTGTATTAGTTTTGTATCACTGTTTAACAAATGGCCACAATGTTCCAAGGCCCAGTAAGTATAAAGTTATAGGTTCCTCTGAGGAATTAGGAAGTTCATGTCATGTCATTATTATTTATGCCATCCCTTGTGTATATAAACATCTCCATCATAGGTATTATTTTCCTGGGATCTGGATGAGATGTTACATCTTCTAACAGCTAAAGTTCTTAGCAAAACTCTCAATTCCAAAGGTCAAAACTGCTGTCCCAAACCCAAATCCCTATTTCTAAGGCAACTGGTGGTAGTTATTTAGGAGAGATCAGAGACACAGGGCCTGGAAGAGGCAGAGGAGGAGCCCAACAAATCCATTAACTGTGAGAAAAGGAAAGTGTAAATTACAGAGACTTATAAAAAGTGAAATAAGCTTTCCACTTACTTTATTCAATAGCTTTCAACAATACTAAAATTGCCTAGCCCAGCACTACATAAATGAATGCCTTACTTTGTTTTTGGTTTTTAAGTCGTCACAGAGTAGTTAATTTATAATTCCCAGCTTTCAAGCAGTGGATTACCCATAACCACAATCTGTAGGAATCTGTTTCTTCAAAGAAAACAGAGTGAGAGAAAGGGAGAGAGAGAACACACAGGAGATGATTAGACTGTCCCTTATCATTCAATATTTATTTTTGTCCAGTAGGATTACTTTTCCCTCACTAGAAAACCTTAAAGTATTAGAAAAATGGAGCCTCATTCATTGCTTTTGCCATTGCGAGTTTTTCCAGCCTTTTGGAAAAGCACTTTGGTAGTGTGTATCAAGAAGTATTATAATGTTTATACCATTCAACACTATGTGTTAGATACTGTGGATTGGCTCACTTGACATGAATTGTAATTTTCTTCTTGTGTCTTTGAGCATTATACAAGGAAACTGCTACATCTCCACATGCTCCTGCAGCTACAATCCCACATGTGGTTTAGTGTCTGTCATTCTGATGCCTGGATTAAGAACTGAGTTAAAAGAGGAGCAAGGCAAGATGCAAGGCATGCATTTTGCTGGCATGGATTGCAGCTAAGGCAGTACATTTTACAGAAAGCAGCTTCTTAGTTGGTGGCTTTCTGATTCTGGCAGAAGCAATGAAATGCTGGGGCTAGAAATGGTTCCTAGAAGTTCTGTCCACTTTTTCAGCCATTCTAACAATTTTAAAAACCACAGAATACATGATAATAAACATTCTTTGATTAAACCAGCTAGAGTAGGCCCCAATATCTGCAATTGGATGCCAACCAGCATAGCCAGGCATGTCATGGGTCTCCAAGACCACCCTCAGGCTTGATGCTTTGCTAAATGGATTCACATAGACCCAGAAGTTGTTGTACTCACATTCATAGTTTATTACAGCCAAAGGATAGAGTAAAATCTCAAAAGGAAAAAGTGCATGGAGCAAGTCTGGAGGAAACCAGACACAAGCTTTCAAGAGTCCCCTTCCAGCAGACTCACACAGGATATGCTTATTTCCTCCAGCCATGATATGTAACAACACATTCAAAGTGTTGTCAACCAGAGAAGCCCGCCTGAGCCTCGTTTTCCATAGTTTTTATTGGGACCAGTCACATGCATACACTGCCTGCATGACTGACCCCAGTTACTGATGCTCAAACCCACAGAGGGAAAGCAGGTATTTGCCATAAATCACATAGTGTAATCTATCTGGGAAAACTCATACAGTATGGCCCAAGACTTCAGGAATGCAAAGCACTCTTATCAAGCAGAATATTCCAAGGGCTCACTTTCCAGGAGCCACGCAAGGGCCAGTCATGAAAACAGCCATTTAGGGGGAGTGTGCATGGTTTGAGTGATTCAGAGCTGCTCGGTTAACCCTTTCCTTCCCATTAAGGATCCCACTTTTAAACATTTATAGCAAAGAATTATCCAAAATATGGAAGAAACTAAAAAAAAAAAAATGAAGATAATAATTGTAGTTTAAAATAACAAAAAGCCAGGAGGAGTAGAGGTTTTGTGACTAAAGGCCTCATAATAGGAAAATGGTTATCAATTGTTCGTCCACTTAACTGAACTTTAGGCAACCACTAAAATACTGTTGTGAAGGAGTATTATTCATTTTATGAAGCATTGTGATAAAATGATTATAATATGATATGGGATAAAAAATCGGGGTATAAAAAGTACATACATAGGACTTAAGATGGCGACGGGTCTGGAGCGGCCGTGTCAGGAGACAGCGCGATCCTGAGAGCTGTACACTGTGATAACAGAGTATTGATTGCATTTCCAAGAGCAACAAAAGGCGAATAATTCTTTCAACAACGATCCTACATTGACAAACAAGCGGCAGCAGGTTCGAGGTTTTGGGGCCGACACAGAAGAGGACTCCTGAGAGCACCCAAGCCCTGCTGAGGGAACGAGCGATCAGCCCAGACATCAAAGGCCAAGAAAGCCAGCAGAACCGGTGCAGAAACAGAGTGAAACACGCCGGACCAGCCCAACACTGCGAGCTCTGTGAGTCACCCCCATCCCAGCCCCACTTGCAGGGCAAAGCCCGACTGCTCCCCCCCCCCCTGGCTCCCGCCTCCCACACCAGGCTAGGCGCCCACAACAGAGCTGCCTCCATTTTCTCAGGTGGGGGCGGAGACGGCCAGCTTAGTGAG